CCTCTGGAAACCAGCCCCTCTGGAAACCAGCCCCTCTGGAAACCAGCTCTTCTGGAAACTAGATGTTCTGGAAACAGGCCGCTCTAGAAACCAGCCCCTCTGGAAACCAGCGCCTCTGGAAACTAGATGTTCTGGAAACCAGCCCCTCTAGAAACCAGCCCCTCTGGAAACAGGCCCCTCTGGAAACCAGCCCCTCTGGCCTGTGGATCTGTGCGGTGGGAGGCTGGCGGCAGGTCTGGAGGGCGAGCCGGATGAGTGGATCTGGACAAACTTCTCTGTGTCGTAGCTCCTTTTTTAACTTTTCTGACGTGTAAACTGAGGCCTGATCCACCTGGGATGCCTGAAGGGAATAAAGATTCAGATGCTGAACATTCCCTGTTTCCGCTCTGTGTCCCGGCAGACGGGAACTCTCCTGCTGGTCCGGATTCTGGAGTCTCCAGGTTCCTCCTGGTGGGAGGCTTCAGGACCGCTCTGTATCGTTCTGTTTTCCAGATCATTTCTGCTGCTCTAGAGTCTTAAATCTAAACCAGGGGTTCCTGCTTTCTGCTTCTAGAACCAACTCAGTGTTCACACGTTTATCATCGTAGTCCAGTTCTGAGTCTTGTCCAGATTTTGGTCCTTCAGCCACTCAAGCTCCAAACACGCAAAACCAAAAGGTTCTGGGAGGTTTGAGCCAGAATCTTCTGGAAGTGGGTCCCATTTCAGGGGCTTTTCTGGACTCTCAGGCTCAGACGTGAAGGTTGCAGAACGTTTGTGTTATGTTATTAAAGGTTTTCTAAACCAGACTTTTCTGTGTGTTCTAGATACGCGTTTATGATTCTGCTATCCAGAATAATTCAATAACTGGTCTCTTGGAACCATGTAAAGGAAAACACCTTATTCTAGAACCCACTGATGGTGTCAGAGCAGCTTCTAGAGGCAGCGAACCTTTTCTAGATGCTTTCATTCTTATTCTCAGTCTGGAGTAGATAATTAAGCAACTTGACTCTAAAACCTAAAATTGTGGATTTCTTTAAGATTCCAGATTTCCTGATTCTAGAACAGTTCTCTTGTTTGTTCCTCATTGATCATGTTGGTTTTAGGAAGTCTAATGATGGCCATCGGTTCTCTGGAAGCAAGTTTTCTGGGGCTGAAATTCAATTGAACCCAATTCTTAACAGTTTTTCCAGATTCACTCAAATTCTTGAAACTAGTTAAACAATATGAAGACTGGTCTTCTTAATCTGACCTGAAGCTCAGCTGGATCCTTGATCCTGACACGGTTTGGGTTGATGGTTGTTATTGTGAAATACATTTCAGGAGTAGAAACACACTCAAACCAGAACCGAACATCTAAGTTATTCTGGAAAAGCTGTTTTATTCTTCCATATCTGAGTGTTTTTGCTCCTGAGTTTAACTCTCTCTGGAGTCTTTTGTTGGATGAAACATAAAAGAGGATGTCAGACTCTAGAGCTCCAGCTCTGATTTCTAGATAAGACCCTGATTAGTTTAAAACCCAGAACACAGACTGAACCCTTCCAGAGCCTCCAGACTCTCGTTTCTTTGATCCATCAGAATTTGTCAGATTTGTCTCATATTGAGGACCAAAATATTGCGACTGTGTTTCCTGTGGTGGCAGGTTTTGACTCTGGAGCAGACGGGGGGGCTGACGTGGACTGGGTCGTTCTCTAGAAACATCTCACAGACTTTCAGACTTTAGGGAAAGAGTCCTGGCTCTAGAGCCTCTGATGGGAGGAGCTGGGTCCTGGTTCCGTTGGTCTGGAAGTGGAGTTAGTGATGTGGAAACCCGGTTCTAGAGCAGACTCTGCCCATTGTGTCCTTCCTTTTGTAACATTCGATCCGGATCTGGACCGGTCTGGTGTGTGTCTGCATGCAGGTGTAGCCGTTGTGAGTCGCCGTGTTTGCATGTTTGTGTAGTTTTCAGTTGTCTGTTGTGGCTCTTCCTGTTTTCTGTTTTTTTCCTGGTTGCTCTGGACTTTGTGCCCCGTAGGCCGGAAATCCTATTGACCTGAGAACATTTCAAAAGCTTGGCAAAGGAAAAAGGACCCGGGAAACGGGGGGGTGGGGGGGCGGGGGGATTCTGTTGTCTGGGTGATTGTTCATGAACTGAGTGCCAACTGCAGATGTTGTACAGCTGTGAAGAACTCACTATTTACTAAAATAAAAGAATTTCTCTGTCTTTTCATTCTGGAGTCGGACGCCTTTTTTCCACCAGCTATCTATCTATCTATCTATCTATCTATCTATCTATATATCTATCTATCTATCTATCTATCATGTATCTATCATCTATCCATCTATCTTTCGATCTCTTAGCACTTCCCTTGTTGTTATATTATATAAATATATTATAATTCTTTATAAAGCCATGTTAGAATTGGGCTATATATGACCAAGTGTAAAATAGAGTGTAAAGAGACTTCATTAGTAGTAAAATATTTGTATGTTTATTTGCGGAAATATAAAAGCATCATTATTCGTTGTTCTAAAATCTTAAATAAAAATATATGTGGCAAAACAGTTCATTGATGGGCTGTATTTAAAACAGGACAAGCATACACTTGGCTGACTTGGAGTAGTGCGAATAGCAATAATAAATATGCAGTTTGGGAAACACAAATAAAATCAATATGGCATGGCCAAACAAAGCCCAAATAAAAACCAAACAAAACATGCAAATGTGCCCCAAGTCAATCCGATTTGACACAGTCCAAAAAGTCTACACAGGCCCAAACAACTAATGTGCAGCCCAAACTTTAACCGAGGGAAAACACAGCTCAGCAGCATCCAGATCATCACTAAAAGATACAAACATTCCACATTCAGCATGACAATCATTCTATCATTAAAATGACTATCTTAACTATTTAAAAGTACCTTTATTAACATCCAACAAAAGAACCCTCCTGCTTCTAGAGGCCAGCAGGTGATTGGACGGTGGGACACACACTTCCCCAGGACTGGTGACCGGTACTATTGCCTGGACCTAAGAGGGTGTGGTCATTACTGGCTGCACTGCTTTTGTGACAAACAGATTGTATCTACTTACCTTCTCTTCTGTGCACCGAACCCAGATGTGGCTAACAGCTGGAGTGTAATGGCTGCCTCTGCACCCGTGTGGAGGAACTGAGGGAAAGGCCCACATTTACCTCCCTCTGGCTTTTAAAAGCTAAGCTCCGCCCCCCAACTCCCTACTTCCTGGTTCACCCTATCACATTATTACTCACTTTAGCATAGTATGCTACAACTTAATCCATGTAAATGACTGATTGTCCTTTTCCTGTTTAGATTCATATCATTCCCTTAATTATGATACTTTTGGGTTAAACTCTCTGGCTGTGCCTCCTCCTCCTCTCTGTTACAGTATCTATCTATCCATCTATCTATCTATCTATCTATCTATCTATCTATCTATCTATCCTCTCTCTGTTACAGTAGATACTCGTCTTCAAGCTCAACATCCACACTTTCTTA